ACATAGAGCCATCGAATTTTGAATGACGAAATCCTACTGCGAATATGGGCATCTGAAATCCCAAATTTGGAATTTGTTTTATTATAAATTTTATATTTTGTAAAACTTTAACGAATTTTTGATTTACAAATGGCAACGTTATATAGAAAAAAAAAATACTTTTATCTCCAGCTCGCGAGACTGTGTATATCGGAAATTCTAAAGATATGCTTAATTTAACATTATTTTGCGATATTGCTCTTGAACTGAATTTTATGGATTAAGTGCAAAGAACATGATATTTAATAAATAAAGGTAACACTCAAAACGTTAAAAAAACGCCCCTTTGGACGTAATTTAAAATCTGAAAAATTTCAGATTTTTTTTTTTTTTTTTAAACACTGGATTACAGCAAATTATATGGATTGTATGTAGTAAGTACAAATATAAATTTCAACTGCCCATTTTTCAAGAGCTATCTTTTCTATCTTACGGGTGACATCACAGTCCACAGATGCGCGAAAATAATATAAGCAGAGAACTATGTAATTGACAATATTTAATTCATAGACAATCAACTTGACTATCAATTATTAAGAACTATGATTATCAAATTAAATCAGTTAGATAAGCAATTTATAAGTTTAATTTATAGTATAAATTTAAGATACATTACAATGAATAAATGTCTCCAAGAATGTTATTACACATTTAAAGATGTCGAGGATAAGGAAGAAATATTACATAAATTTTTCAGCACAAAGAAATGTTTGAAAATTTTTGTTTGCATAGAATATGTACATGCACTTGATAGTTCAAAAATTACGAAGCATTCTAGAAATTGGGGGGGGGGAGACTAGGCCCATCAACAGCCAAGCAGCAAAATCACTGAATACTGGTAGTTCGGTCCAGAGAACAAACTCTGGCAAACGTACAGATGTTTTCATGATTTTCCTCATGTATAACCTGTGTCAATTGGCTTTAGGAAGTCCTCCACAAAGGCATCCCTCCCCTCAGGCCGATAGGCCTCAAATGCTTTGTCGTAAATAAATAAACCAAACAGCTATGAATAAAGTAGCAAATTTTTATAATGAGAATTTTATTTTTGTAGAATGCCTGAAAGTGAATATTAAATGTGCCAAACCAGAATCAATGAGAAGATCCAAATTAATTTAAAACAGGTCTTTTTTTTTTTGGTGCATACAAGCGATAGCAGCTGACCCATGTGTGCACATATCACACATGTGTTTGTTGTACACTTGCAATAAATGCTCTATATTTATCATTTCGCAGAACAGCATCTGTCGGCTCTCAAAATGTAAATTATATCTATATAGATTATTTTTTCCACAATTCATTTCCTGCTTCTTAAAAAGTTCTATTTTACATTATGATTTATGAAAAAATATTACCTATGAGCCACAATGTTAGTTAAATAAACAATTTTTGCCGGTTTACATAACTGCCAATAAAGAGCAGAATTCTTACATTTCTTGTGCAGAATTCCGATCATTTGCTTGTGACTTAAACTAATGTAATTAGCAATAAATTTGTTAAAATGTAGTGTAATACTGCCACAGAATCGCCTGTTCCTATCGGGTGATATTTGCATTCAGACAGTTTTACACAATTTAAAAAATGAAATTTCCCACACAATTAATCTTACACAATATATTAAATCAGATTAGCAACATTTATTTTTAAGAAAACTCATCTAAATAAATATTATCGCAAGTTCTTTAACATCTGATGCGATTGCGTAAGCATGGGTAAAAGCAATATCGTCCATCATGAGCGATTATCAGTTTCTTGGACGAAATCCCTTTTTTCCCTTTCTCGTTCCGAAATCGGACTATGATCAAAAGTGATTCTTGGGGTCTAGACGCTTGTAATATACATGAACTAGGTGGAAGATGAGTTTTGCAATGGAAGAGGAGACACAGAAATATTCACATGTTTTTGTTGCATGGGAAAGTGATGTATTATCAATACATAATTATAAACTTAAAATAACTACTTGTGAAACTATTTATTTTAAATTTAAAATTTATTATTAATTTATTCTAACTGTAAATAACTTAATGAAAATTTTTATGTTTGGGGTTACTATTCATTTCACTTAGTTTGAAATACAGGTCATTTGTCATCTTTTTACCTAATAGAAACCGAAATATCAATTATATTAACTGACATATTTAAACTAAATTCGTTTTTTCTCTCTGTCATTTAATAAAACGTTTGTATCTTAACACAGCTCACTATAATTTATGAAAAAATTTTAATAAATGTTACATGGGCATTTTTAATGTCTTTTTTTACTTATTATACACTTATTTACTATAATTGTTTTTCCGTAATTGTTAATACATGTTTCCACAAGTATATGCAAGCACAGGAAAAGCCAGACTAAACGGCGTTCCGATCACGTAAAGGCGTCATTCCAGTCCGGTCCATATATTTATTGCCGAATTGCCGCCAGTAAATGCAATTTTATTGGCTCCTGATAATTTGCCGTGATGGCACCTGGCAGTTGGACGTTGATAACAGGTGGTAAAGTTGGAACTGAGTCAAAAGGGAGGAAGGAAGGTGACACTGCGTCACAAGGCTGGAGAAACCAGACAACAGACCATTTAAGGCAAAACTGAGTGCAGCATATAAATTAATCAATGATTAATTATTAATAATTCCTGACAGAGTAAAGGCGTCATGGCCGCTTCTGTTATATAAAGACGGCAATTAGCGTTCGATCACAGATCTTTTAACATTTCTGGATCACAGAAATAACTTGCTGGAGGTCTAGCGTTGCTGCGCGACGGACGATTTCCAGGCTGCTTATCTTGCTTTTGGGTAAATATAATTTTTTGCTCTTTTTCCTCGAAAGGCTAGTCACGCACCAACGATTAGGAGCAAAACACCAAGGCATGCGGCAACCAGCGAATTTAATGATAGCGACAATGAATCTGTTATTTCGAATTCATCTAATCAATATATTTATGGTATAGCCGCTGCCAAATTCTAAGCACTGGTGAATTTTAAAAGATCGGAACAGCATAAGATCTCTCCTAAACCTAAAATGCATAAACCTCCTATAACTGAAGCGAGAAATATAGAAGTGTTTTCCCCAGCCTTACAGAAGGACCTGCAGTAATTAAAAATAATCAGACGTCTCAGGCTAAAAAAAACCTACCGTAGAAATGACTGCAAACAACCACCGGAAATACCCCTTTAAAAATCCGCAGATTCCTATGCCCACCGAAATTTCACAGAACAATCGTTTTGAAGTCCTTAACCAACCCAAATTCAGCGACTGAAGATAAGGAAATTAATGAAAACATCCTAGAAAAATTTTCACCGATAGTTATATTCTATTCAACTTGTACTTTTTTCACAAGTGCATTAACGGTTTTTCCTTTTTCTGAAATTTTCCACAAATGCATGACAACATTTCATTGACAAGAACATGCATATTGGTAGCCGCCCAACCGGTATAGTGGCCAGCGTCGCTGACTGCCGTGGGCCCCGGTTTCGAATCCCGAAGAAGGCATAGATGCTTGTAAATGTATAGTGTCCGAGCAGCATGATAGGCACTCTAAGTATGCGGCAAGCCGAAATTCTAGCTTGAGGTTGGTGGGGGGAAAAGAGGGGTCGAAGACTCTCAAACACGTCGCTCCCAGGATGCTCTCCATCAAAACTGGGGGCGGATTGCACTGTCACCTAAGCTCATACCAAGGCATTAGCGATTCCGCTGCTTTCTGAGTTGCCATGACAACATCTTTCTCGAGGCCAGAGGTAAATTCCTCCCACCCTATCTTCTTTCAACTGTTTCGACTCCATTCACGCAACGCGTGCAGGAATCGCTTCAACTGTTACCTCTTTCTCTTTCTTATCGCTTGAGGTCTTTGACCCCTTCCTAAGCGAAGTTGGAAGATGAAGGAAGTTTTCGTCCCTTGGGTGGACTTCTTATTCATTTCTGGCATTTAAACCCCTAACGGTTTCGTTCTTTTACTTTAGCCATGCTCATCTCTTAATTATTCAATTTTTCTTAACGAAGTTGTGGAGGTAATTGCATTTATTTGCAAAGGTAATCCGAAAGCAAACGCCTTGGGGCTTGGGCCTAAGCTGCTCAAGGCTGTTGCAAACGACAGGCGTAAACGTTCCTTGCCACGAGGAATTTCGTGGGCTTTGAGTTGACTACAGTCCTTTCTTTAGTCTTTTTTCAATCTCATTTCAATTTCTTTGTCATCTGATAAAAGATATTCACAGGGATTATTGCCTGCAAAACGGAGATTCTGTACATTTTCTGACATTTTTTCTGCTGTTCTGGGTTTTTGTCTCGTATTTTTCATGATTCCGGTTTTCTAGGGTCTTGCCCACACTTTTAGGCTCAATGTCCGTTCTCTCAGCATGTTCTGTTTTGACTACCGTGATTGAACTATTATCTGTTTGAATTATCTCGCAGAACCGCTGAAGTGTTACGGCAGTGGGAGTTTTACTTTCAAGAAATGTCCCTAAAAAATGGATTTTTTTTTAACCAAGCCAGGCGCCTTCTCTCTGACAGAACGTCTGACTCTTTGATAGTGTTGATTGTTTTCCTGCAACATGGTATAAGGTAACATGGTATACATGGTATGGTCTGTACCATGGTATAAGGAACTATACCATAATGTACCTTCAAAATTTCTGATTTTACACAAGCTACGGAAGCAAAACTTTTAGTGTTTTCTATAACATAATTGATATGTCCTTGCATGACGCTATTTTTCCTATTACATTGTACTCGTTCCTATTTATATTGAAGGAAAGTCAAAGAAAATGACGGAAAAATATGATAGATTGGTGAGACGGGTGCTAGAGAGTATGTGCCGAAGGAGTTCTTGAAATCGAAGCTGTTCTTGATTCCTTATTTCTTTTTTTTTTTAGAACATTCGTAATGATAAACAAAGGAAATTAGAGATAATATTTAGATTTCATCAGAACGAGTGCCGCGGTTATGTATACATACATAAAATAATGCAGAGCACTTTTGCAGATCAATATTTTATTTAAATGAAAGCAATTGTTTAGTAAAACTGTTTACAAATTTTACATGCAGTACATTTGTGAAAGTAATGTGTTTGCAGATTAGTAATATTTTCACCAATTATATTAATTTAGAATTTAAAACTGTAGTATTTTCAGGAAGCTTGCCTACCAAAGTTTGCATTTGCGTTCTGGATTCATTGGTGCACCTGATGGGCAATTAAAATCCTGGGCAAACTGCGGTAAATTTGACACTGCTCCTATGACTCTGAAACAGGAGACATATTTTAAAAACCTTACAGCAGAACATAACTTCAATTGTTTAACATAATTTTCTAAATATTCTTAAATTTGTTTCGAAGAATCAAAATATTGATTTAACCAAATAAAAATTTTATAGGAGCGTTAAAAATACCCCCTTCCCCCAAAGGGGATTTTTTTATTTATTTAAAGAAAAAAGAAATCCTCGTACACAACAAAGTATCACACGAGATTTACAAATCGTAAGTAAAAAAAAGGCAAAATTGTAAGTAATAACATCAATTTTCAATAATACAATGAAATCATACACAAAGGAAAAAACACACACAAAAATAAATAATAAATAAAATAATAAATAAATAAATAAAAATAAATAAAATAAAAAAATAAATAAAAGATAAAAAAAATAAATAAATACAAAAGTATAAAAATGTATAAAGAAATCATTTACAATGTTTAAAATAAAAGTCAACAAAATCGTTGAAAGCTGGGTAGGCTGAAGCTGAAGATGCAAAATCATAACATTTCGGCGGCCAATGAATTCAAATTAATTTTAATCTACATTTCAATAGATTTCTTGCTTTATCAAGCAATGGACAGTCAAAAAGCAGGGGGAAAACACTTTGCTGAACGCTGAGATTGCAATGACACAAATTGGAAGACGTCAGCTTAAGCCGTTCAAGATAAACATTAAGCTTACCATGTTCAGACAAAAATTGCGTAACTTTAAAATTGAGCAACAAGTCCTTACTTTTCAGTCTTTCAAAAATAGTTGGGAAGAATGTTTTTGTAACACATCACTTATCAGAAGAGATATAATTACAGTTCCACTGCTCAATCATTATAGCTTTGAATGTTTTTTTGAAATAAGATTTTGGAATATTTACATCAACATTAATATAATTTTTAGTTGCATTCTTAGAAAGCCAATCAGCTCTCTCGTTTCCGTAATTACCCGAATGACCACAGACAAATGTAAAAAACACTGAAATACCCTTCTTCTCCAGATCTCCGAGAGACTGCTGTATATTAACAATAATATCATTGCATAAAGAGGTATTTTTAAGAGAGTGAATCCGTACAGATTAAGTAGCTGGAATCACTTCCATCCTGGCTAATTATCCACTTAATTGCAAAATTAATACACAGAAGCTCAGAAATATATACCGTACATTCCTTTCTAATGCGAAATTGGTGGCACTCAATTTCAATATCATTTTCAAAAATAACATAAGCAAAAACAACTTTATCATCAATCCTACTACCATCCGTATACAACACAAGTGAGAACGAATTTACATTAGAATCCATACTATCCAGAATCTATACTGGTTGTCTTACAGAAGGATGTGGAAGAACAGACAAGGGCAGTAAACGATCAGTAACCCCCCAAGGGGATACTGAGCATTTTCAAATATAGCCCTCATCGTTCTAAACATTACAAAAGAGAAATAGGTTGGTGATGTTAGAGAATGAGGATTACACAAGCGCAAGAGTGCCGTGTATACGAATGATTCGTCTCCAGTCGGATTCAGGTGAATTTGCTAAGTCTACTACGCGAAAACAGCATTTTCACTGCGAAATCCTTATTATATGCATTTTTGTGCATCGTAGGTGTTCTAAGAACTGAGGTATAACGTTACAAATTGAAGCGAACACGTGTTTTGTTTATGATTAGCTTTTCCTGACACAGTTTCATTCATATGCGGCAGGAATCTAGTTAGAAGCACTGATCAACTTTTTGTCGTAGGCTGACAAACAACATACAACCATATATTGCTTACTTGGTGAAATATGTTTCAGTAAAAATGCATTTCTTAAGTAGTACACCATTAAAACTACGTGCCATCCGATTGTATGCCGAACCAATATTAGACATCGCGCTGTTGCAAATGATCGTTGCAAGAGTCTGTATCCCCTGTCTGTCCCATATTAATTTAGCGTAGTGTAATGTGTTAAGCAGTAGGTTAATGTCACGTGTAATGTAGTGTCTTGTTGTAATGAGTATTAATGTAGTGTGCCAATGTAATGTGCCATGAATATCTACGTAATGTAGCGTAGTATAACGTGCTAAGCAGTATATTAATGTTATGTACAATGCCGTGTATTTAGGTTATATGTAATCAGTATTAATGTAGTGTATCAATGTAAAGTGTCACGAATATCTATGTAAAATTATAAGGTATTTTCTCGCTCCTTCCAGCATGCCTTCGGGTTGTAACAGTAGCACATTCAGCGCGTATTCGAGAGGTCCAGGTTTGAGTCTCGGCAGGGGCATTGCTCATCTTTCATGTATTCCTGCTTCCAAATAACATAATGTCTCTACGGTAGCACACTCAGCGCGTATTCGAGAGGTATAGGTTCGAGGGCCAGCGAGGGCATTGGTCAATTTTCCCCTCTCCTGCTTTAAATAACCTAATAACTCTACAATATATTAAATTCAATGTACCACGGTAGGCATCTGTGTAGCATATGTGAAACCTAAAGCTATTGTAAACAATTTAATGAATTGTAATATTGTTCTGAGACTTCAATAAACTCCCGATGTGGCGCTTCTGGGACGCTGGGGGGGGGTGAGTGCTCTAGATGGATGCCGGTTACGGACAATACCAGAATACTCTTTGAAACCCACACGAGTGTCCCAACCTGCTGTCACCTATCAACTGTCTCATAGCATCCGATAATGTCAAGCCTGCATTTAAAACTGAAAGGAACGTATAATTTCTATCTTTGCTGGAGAAAGGTTTAGTGCTGTTGTTGCTTTTTTATTTTACTAAATCATGATATGATATGATATGACGGACGTAGCCCGACCCTCTTGGCAGACTTTACGTCGCCCTATGGCTTTTTTGCGGGCTGTGCCAGAGCAAGCTAGAAACAGCACCTTAAACAGACATAAAGAACATAACTAAAAAACAAAATTCAGATTAAAATCCCTACTGCAAGCTTATTATGATTAATCCTCTCCATCATTTTCCTGGCAAGTTTTTTCAGTCTTTTAAAATCATTTAAAATATCATATATATTAAAAACATCATTTTTCTTAAACTCGTTGATGATATCAGTAAAATATTTACATTTTCCACATAATGCTCTGCAGTACTTCTTTACAGATATCACAGAGGTCAGGCTCTTGTAATTTAAACCTTTTAAAATAGAAAGGAAAACGGCCATGACCTGTAATGATTTGGTTAACGTCAATGTCTGAATAACATAAACCTTTTTTTAAGTTTAACAAATTTCATATAACCTTTATTTCGATCAGACCTTTCCCACTCCTCCTCCATTTATCATAAATATAATTTTTCATGATAGTCACAGCTTTCCTTGTTGATTCCTGTACATCATTATCACGAGCATTAATATCGGTAATTGCCTCCTTGGCCAGTGAGTCCGCTCTCTCATTTCCAAAATGTCCAACGTGTGCCTTCACCCAATTAAATACAATATTTTGATCTTCTCTCAAATCTTTATATAATTCTCTAATATCTACTATTAAAGATTGTCTTGATCAGGTCGTGAGAGAGCATGAAGAACTGTCAGACTGTCAGAATAAATATGTATATCATATTTCCCTTTAAGAGTCTTCTTAATCCATTTCAGTGGGTAAAAAATAGCCATAGCTTCCGCTTGATCAACTGAGTTATAAATATTGAGTTTAAATTTCTCAATCTCTGTTCCATAATAATATATAACATATGTGAAAGCAATAGCGTTTCCCAGACCTGACCCGTCTGTATAAATGCCAATATCTCCTATTTTTAAAGTATCCAAATAATACGGAATAAAAATTATTTCAGCAGGGTGAATCAAATTTAAATCAAATTTTTTAAAAGCGCACCATGTTAATTTTATTAAATCATGTAAAAACATACACTTTTCATTTTAGAAGCCATTCTTATGCTTCACTTACTTAAATTTCGCGGGCACATATGTTCTATTGAGAAGGCGTTCCTCCACATTTTCTTTTGATGGATTCTCGCACATCACCTGTAACAAATTTAATGTTATATGTAATTCGTCCATAAATCTTGGACGCCAGCATCGAAATAACTTAACAGAACTCATAAACATACCAAATATATTTCTAGATTTCTATGAGTTTAGATGTAATTATTTTATTTCATCAATTTGCATCAAAATTTACAATGCAGTTTTTCAATATAATCTCCATTTAATTGAATACAGTTATACCAAGGAAAAATTCATTTTTTGAACCGCCCTCAAAGAACGTTTTCTGTATCTCCTGAATCATCCTATTTATGGCATGGTTAAATTCGTGAAATTTATACAAAGCAAAGGTTTTTTTTAAATGTGGGAATGGAACAAATGGGGAAACAAAATACTCCTCGCAGGCGTTGAACAGTTTCTGAAGTTTTCACATCCTTTTTCAACAAATACAAAATGGTTGCACTTCGCATTTTCCATCGTTGCAAAAACAGTGCTATAAAACACGCCTGTATCACTTAAAAACATGATTCGGTCTTATGATCTACACAATATTACCTGTGGTACTGTATAAACATTTCAAGATTAGTATGTGGTCTATAGCGTTGATTATAAATTCTAGGATTCGAATAGAGCACCTAGAACTTTGGGAACATTGTACATAGAATATTGATCATAACCTTGTAAAAATCAAAGACTTTTCAAGAAACCCTGCGTAAATGCTTTAATGGAAACTTCTCATGTTTTTTGATATAGGCATAGGCATCCCGGACTTATCAATGTCTATATGTAACGCCGGTACAGCACATGGAATTCAGTCAAAGACAATCCTACCAGTGGAAGAAGGCTGGTAAAAGAATATACCAGTTGTCTCATGAATACGGAGATCCGTGACTCCGAAATGAATGCCAATGAAAACAAAGTACTTACAATCCATTTAGAACTCACAGATGAAAACACTAAATGGCACAGCCAAGATTGAATAACACAAAAACTTGAGTAGAATTACAGGAGAGTAGTAGTAATGTGAAACGGTTTATAGAAGACAGCATGCAAAATAAAATGTAAATCAAACAATAAATACTATACACTAGAATCACCAAGCAATATACAACACAAAAACTGAGATTAAAATAACATAATAATGCTAAAATACAATGCTTAAATTGAAAAATCAAGTAAATAAATGCTATATACAAGACTTAGCTCTCTACAACATAGAACAGCAAGGTCAGTATATTACAAAGTGAAGTGAAACAAATGAACGAAAAGTGGTATAAATTGCCAGGAAGGAAACACACTTGAGAATCATGGATAAGTCATTTTATTGTATTCTTTGGATTTGTCAACAAAATGGCCTGTTGCTTATGATAATCAGGAACGTGTGCTGATGATAACTAGGATGTTCATGTGCTGATGATAACTAGGATGTTCATGTACTGATGATAATCAGGATGTGGATGATGATAATCAGAAACAGAAACATAGCTCAGAGTAGGGCAAAATGCTTCCTCTGTCATTGCGTCCTTCCATGACTGACAAATAACTTCCCATTTTTGTTTGGAAATATCTGATACTCAGGCTTAAATAGTAATGTTCACGGCATCAGTTTTCATCTCCGTGGCAATTAGGAGTGAACATGAATTCCAAATATGACGTACGCACTGCAATACTCGTGGCCAATGTTTTTATCAAATGACTGTAATGAAACGCAAGACGCTATGAAAAACTAACACTTACTTGTGCTGCACTTATCCAGAACAACTGGTTCGGCGTATACACCAATCCCGGAAGGAATTCATTCTCTTGGGATGTCATGGAAAAATTATATGTCTGGTAAAACATAAGGAAATAAAATCAAATAAATGTATTTGAAAAATTAAAACTGGTTTAAAAATTTAGATAAAATAGCTGACTCTTAACCGTAAACCGTGCCCACTTACGTCCCTTAACCTTTACCCGGGGACGTAATGGCAGACCGCACATTGAGTTGAACAGTGTTAAACGAATGTCGCATACTGCGCATGCCCAGAAAACAATTTGGCGTAATTACTATGTTGGCGCGATTTGAAAAGAAGATAAACACGGTATATGGTAGATGTACCGCCATCTGATTGTAAACAAATCTGGCGTTTAAATCTTCGTAGAGTATAATGTAAATGTAAATTAATTACTGTGTTAAAATACTATTTTTTGCTGTACTGCTCAAACAACTAGAACGCTGAAATTATTGCGAAGTGATGTGAAGCAGTGTTTGCATTCAAAATGTAAAATATAATACCTATGAAATTCTGCACATTCCTTTGGAACTGTACAAATTTTCGTTCAGAAAAAGACTGAAATTTAGGATATATTAGTTGAAAATTTATTCATTATACTTTTAAGCAATAAAAAACAATTCATAATTTACCATACGTTCCATTCGTACATACATAAAGAAACACTGAGAAATATAACAAGTGCTTGCAAATAACACTGAAGAAATTTTACAATTCCTTAATGCTAGTTATTAAATTCTTTGAAATGAGAAAATAAAAGCGCGAATATACGCTAACAAACTAAGCGAGATACTCCAGTTTACAATTACTGAATTATAACATGTAAACAAATTACATTTAAATAAAAAATTATTACGAACATATTGTTAACAAATATTAAATGCACTGTTATTGATAAATTACAATGAAATATATATTAGATAAATAAGCAAGTGCAATCGGTATGGACGTTAAAATAACTAATAAGCAAAGTTCCACAACATTACAGTTGTAAACATCATTCGAACACACTCGACAGCCATGGTGATTACGAATAAGCTAGCGTAGGGTTGCTTAGTCGCCAATATTTCTCCCCGCACCAAAGGTACACCATCAAGCATGCGCAGTAAGCGAAATTTGCTTAACATTGTTCAACTCAATGTGCGGTCTGCCATTACGCTACCCGGGGGCTGGGACCTATACGTCCCGAGCTAAGTGTACAGAACTGGGGACTCGGGCGTGACCCTCGAGGGGTCACGGCTCGGGGTAGTTTCCCGCTAGTCGCAGGAGTAGGAATTCTAGTGCTTGAGGCTTGAAGATTATTTTACGACACCTCGGAGCATGGAGGTAAGAAGTAAGATGGAGTCGCCCTAACAAGTTTCTCCGTACCCTGCTCTGAAGCACCGGCGAACCCTACGTGGTGACCAAAACATTGGGTCATTACCATTGAGTTCTATGGGATTTGACGCGTTCGGGTGTAAATATTTTGCAATTATGTCGCAAATATACATATAAATATATATATTTTCTTTTTCTACAACACTTCAGAGTCCTAAGCATGTGAAAACAACATATTTTTAAACAACATTTCATTCTGAGCGGAATTAAATGCTATACTTTTCACAGGACAGTTTTCTCAGAACGGTTTAATTTGAATGAAATATTTTCACAAGTTTTCGTTAATTACATTAGAAAAAAAAAAAAAAATTAAGGTAATTCGATTTTATTCGGTTAAGGTACAAAAAATTAAGATCAAAGTTTATTGTATTATTAATATTAAAATTATGCATTATTTCTTTGCTATTTATAGAGCTTCTTCCTAAAATACTTTCTTAAATATGACATGATTTTTTGGCTTCTTTTAAATCGAAAAATGTAAGTCAATTTATAATTAATGTTCTATTCGGTTCATTTTAAATTAGAGAATTATTAGGAATTAGCGAAATACTTTAAATAAGTATTTCGTTAATTCCTAATAATTAAATAGGTATTAAATAGTATTTGACTTTCTCTGAACATTTCTGAAAGGGAATAAAATAAGTTTTTTTTTTTTTTTTTTTTTTTTTTTAAGTATTATTTAAAACTTGTAACTGAGTTATTATAAAATGTAAAGGGAATAATTCTTTTAATTATACTTATCAGATTTTTTTTTCTTTTACCCTTCATTTCAACAATACATATTCCAAAACTCTTTATTACGTTCTTAAGTGCGCATCTCATAGCATTTGCTTTACAATACCTTTTAACAGATTGCTTTCCAATACGAACAATTCTTGCTTAAATAGTTTTATAACGTATTTGTCAACAGGATTTCAATTTACGTTTACAATTCAATATTAAGGTTATTATATATTTAGATAACATTTATAATCATTATAAATTAGATACATTTAATCATTAGATTTCTTCACAGTATTTTCACAGTTGTTTATAAGTGAATAAATTCTTCATTTCAAATACATTTATAAATAATTTAATGAATATTTAAGTATTTTGTCAAAGGCAGATACATGCTTTTTGCAAGCACATGCATAAATACCCATACATATTTCCTATTTATCATTTCCGGCATGTGCAAATCTTTAATTTCTGTGCATTCACTATATTTTTCTAAGTAATTTACACTAATTTAGCATACACCCGAAAGTTTTACATAAAAAATATATATGAATATAATTTGAATGAAAATTATAAGTATTATTTTTAATACCCACTCAAAGGTCAGTTTTTCTTCAAAATTCCTCCACGATGGCATTCTCTCTTTAGGCAGATAGCCCTTGCATGCGTTACTCTATTTAATAAAAACTTAATCTGACCTATGTGCCTAATTACAATATTTTAACATACATAATTTTATATTTACATTTAGCCATCAAGTTTCAAAACTTTTCAAAAAATCATCTAGAAAATAAATTTGGCAGATCTCTTTTAGCAATTTTCTTAAAATCTATATTTTTGTGTAGTGCAACAGCTTAGAATTTATAAAACAAATTCATAATCAAAATCGCTGTTGTTAGTTATCGAAAAAAATAACCGAGATGGGATTTTTGCATAAATGTCAGTAAACTATACAAATTGCTATTATCCATCACACTACGAATGTTTCTTTCATGCGAGAGTGTCCCTTTTTCGATTTCTATGGAACTGTCGTGTGTCGAAATACTATCAGAATCTTGTCAAGCGAGATTCTGAATGTAAACAAAGAACACCCCGTCTGGTGACCCAAGCTTCAAAGCAGTGCTTCACTTCTAGCGCGGAATGGCCCCTCCTCCCTTTCCTACGTCCATGCCTCGGAGAGTGAGTTCTCTTGTGGGATTCCGCTAATGGGTAGGGGGGAAATTGCCAGTATTTTGAACACACATGGCTTATTTGCGAATTTGGTAGCTTTCGAGAAATATTTTATTGAGAGGAGAAAATAAGAATAATTTGTTACTTTGATTTTCGCGCATTTGCATTTAAAGATCTTCCTTCAGGTTTTTACTGTTGCAAAAATCGTTATTAGTTTTTTCCCTTGGTATTTATCATTTTTTTCTAGTTTAGTTTTAAATAATGGCTAAACGTAAAGGATTTTTTTATATCATTTTTTCCATAATTGTTTTTTTAATTTATTTCAATTTTTAATGTGCATGTAAAAGCAGTGCAATGAATATAAACGTTCTGGCGATGAAAATTAATTTTAGTATTATTTCTAAAAGGCATACATTCCATGACTATTGTTTACTTGAGGGATATTTTGGTTTGTTCTAAATGATAACTAGCAACCTGGCGGACAAAATTTCTTTAACACCAATAATTCAACCCGGATTCAAACTCCGATGAGCGGAGTGGCTGCATGAACTTTTCGCATTCTCTCATATATATAAAGGGTGTGTGAGCGCATTTCCTTCGAACGTCCTCCACAAAACCCCCCTAAAGCAATTAGTGTAGAACATTTTATAATTAAAAATTTAAGTTTCCGAACTTATTTACTTTATCCGTTGTTGTATGTTTGCGTCTATACTATGATATCTGTATCAATTCGTTCAGAAAGTAGCTACGTTAGTTTAGGTTACTTGAATATGGGGAAAGAGCACGATGCTGCTTACCTAAGGGAAAGGATGCCTTTGTGGTGAACTCTTAGGGAAACTGGCTCGTATTCACGTTTCACATGGAGAAAACAAGGGAAACCAACTATGCAACCAGCCCGATTGCCTGGTCTCGAACCCAAGTCGAACTACCAGTATTCAGCAGTCTTGACATTGAGTCGCAGGTAGCGTTAGGAAAGTAATTAATTTTTGCATGAGAACTGTATTTTGGAGGGAATCAAACAATAGTGTTACGAATTTGGTATTTAAAAAGCTAATGTTAGTTCAATTATAAATTAAATGGTTTTATTTCTCGCGCAGTGCAGCGCGTGACGAATATTAAAAGAAAGCTAAGCCGGAAAAATTGAAAATACAAGAGCGCGTGCATCAAATAAATAAATATCTCTTTTTGATTTCGAGAAAGTACTGGAAAATTCTAGCGCGTGATTTTAAAATCTTATAAAAGGAGGAAAACATCTCAGTTCGTAGTAGTTGCTTAGTTTGTTGTTGTTTAGAAAACTGCTGTTGTTGATTGTAGCGAATTCGCGGATTAGCGTTCTTTAGCTGTTTTGAATTACGTTCTATTGGACATTTGAGTAGTTAAAAGATAACTACTGTGAGATATTGTAATACTGCATGATAATTTGAGAAAATTTAAGCATTTTTGTTGTGATAATAATAAATTTTTGTTCATTTTTCATCGGACTTGTGCATTCATTTCATAACGAACCCGTACGCACGCAACAATTTTTGGTGTCAGAAGTGGGATTTGAATGCCAATAACAAGAGCGATGGAAGAACAATTGAGCAGCTCATTAGTGCTTTTGTTGCATTCCAAGAAAAGATGGAATGGCCAAGCATCGTTTAAAGAAGAGATGAAGATCTGTTAAAGCAGGAGATTAGATCCCTTTAAAGAGGAATGAAATGGGCCAGGAATCCGTTAAGGAAGAAATGAAAATTGGGCCAGGAATCCGTTTAAGGAAGAAATGAAATTGGGCCGTCCGTTAAGGAC